GCCAATTATGTTCAGAGGGAAATTTATACTTTTTAATACTTACGTTTAAAAAGAAAAACAAAAAATTAAGATGTGAGTCCCCAAACTCAAGAAATGATTTAGAAAGAAAAACAATTAAATTAATGAAGTAGAAAATAAGGAGGCTACATTTAAAAATAAGTTACAGGGCAGGAGAAGATATATGTACTACTTATACCTGGAAAAAAAGAAAAAAAACTGGTATCCAGAATATCCAAAAACACCCTTACAAATCACTGACAAAAAGGCAGATAATCAATTTGAAACGGGAGTAAAACACTTAGTCAGTTTGACAAATGGGAAACTCTGCATGGCCTATCACTATATCAATAAATGTTCAACTTTTTTATAGATAAGATAAATGAAAATTTAAAACACCACAATGAGATACCTCTACAACCTCATCAGTTGAACAAAAAAATAAGTCTGGCAACTCCAAGTTCGGACAAAGATGTGGAGCATCAAGAAATACAGTGCTAGTGAGAGCATAAATCGATATAACCACTTGGAGAAAATAATGTGACATTATCCAACTATATTGAAGATAAGCTTACGGTGGCAGTCTAAATCCAGTTAGGAGATAGAAACCCCACAGCAGGCTAAATATCAGACTTAGTACCTGTGATGAAATATCAACTATAAAATATGAGGAAAGAGTAGCCAAGGAAAGACAAACTTGAAAGAGTTTCAGACCTCATTGGAGAACGTCTGTTTGTGTTTGGCCACTAAATAGCAAAAAAACAAAATTTTCTGATGTAGCCAGATCACAGCTGGTCCGAGCAAACAATACGCAACTATCCAGTATACAGGTAGGGAAACAGGCTATCAGCAATACCTAGTGTGGCCTGCAATAGGAAGCTGGGGATGAAAGTAGGAGACCAGAGCATACCCACACACAAAGCCCGCACAGGAAGTGGCAGCTCTGTGTTGTGAGCCTCTATGCCACAGGGGTCTATTGTGAAGGTCATGTGGGAGCTTTGGTTTTTATGTCCAGAGGGCTGTGGAAAGGTTATCATCAAGCTAAGGCTGCAGTATTGCAGACTAATCTCAGGACTTAGTGGATTCTAGTGGATGTCCTCACATCCACACCTCTGAAAAAAATTGCAAGAAGCTTCTTTATCCTGCAATGTCTCTTCAACATCCTTACTGAAAAAAAAATTAACATAATGCTCACTTTAAAAGAAAAGTACTTGTGAGAATTCCATTATTAATTGTAGGCCATATATTGAAGGGTACATTTAGAGCTAAGGAGTGATCAATTGCTAATGGAAATACCCTGTAATTTGAAATGCATGAATTTGTGTTGGATACACCAACACATATATTAAAATGGTCATAGACACTTTGTTTTAATTGCCCCAAAATGGACACAACACAATGCTCAGAATAGATAAATGATTGTGGTATACTTATATAATGGAATAATAACATCAATTAAAATCAGAGTAGAGCTTGTGCAACAATATGGCTGAACCATTCAAGCATAACGTTAAGTGAAAAAAAGTAAGATACTTTGTAATACAAATTACATATCTTAGTCAATTCAAGCTACTTATGGTAAAAATACTATAAACTGGTTGGCTTAAACAACAAACATTTATTTCTCACAGTTCTAAAGGCTGGAAAGTCCAAGATAAAGTGTTGGCAGATCTGGTCTGTAGTGGAGCCCCACTTTTTGGCTTGTAGACTTTTTGCTGTAGCCTCATATAGCCACTAGTGAACTCTAGTTTCCCTCTCTTCTTACAAGAATAATCCCATCCCGGGGGTTCCACCTTCATGACCTCTCTAAACCTAGTTACCTCCCAAAGTTCCCACCTTTGAATACCATCTCTGGAGCTTAAGGTTTCAACATATTAACTTCGGGGGAAACAAACCATCTAGTCCATAAAATTGCATGATTCCCTTTATATCAAGTCCCCAAATATGCAAAACTATATTATTCAAGGTTGCATATACAGTTAGGAAAACTGTGGAAAAGTAAGGAAACAACTATCATAAAATTCAGGATTATACTAACCTTAAAAAGGGTGGGAAAGTGTTATGATAGAGAAAGAATATATGGTGAGTGTGGCTTTCAGGGTACGAGAACTGTTCTTTCTCTCAATCTGATGATAGTTAAACTGATGTTTGCTTTATAAATGCTTATTTATGATTCATAGTATACATATATATAAATTTTATGTGCTTTTCTGTCTATATATATTACATCTTTTAAAAAGAAAAACAGTTCATGCCAGGAAACAACAAATCTAGCCAGGCCCACCCAGAGATTTTATAGGGAAGGTATATCATACATTTTTGGAAGGGATAATTCTAATTTTATGCAATTATTTCCAAAGAATACTGTGGGAGAAAGCTTTTCTTTGAATCATTTATACTCCAATATAGTGATTCTTAAGAGGTTGGGCACTATCCCCCAAAATTCTGATTTAGTAGGGCTGGGATGGAGCCCAATAATTTGCATTTCTTTCAACACCATTAAAATAGCCATATTGTCCAAAGTAATTTACAGATTAAATGTTATTCCTATCCAACTGCCAATGACATTTTTCACAGAATTAGAAAAAAAAATTCTAAAATTCATACAGAACATAAAAAAAAAAAAACAGAATAACCAAAGCAAGCCTAAGCAAAATGAACAAAGCTGAAGGTATCACACTACCTGATTTCAAACTATACTACAAGGCAACAGTAATCAAAATAGCATGATACTTGTATTAGTCTATTTTCATACTGCTGTAAAGAACTTTCCAAGATTGGGTAATTTATAAAGGAAAGAGGTTCCGTTGACTCACAGTTCAGCATGGCTGAGAAAGCCTCAGGAAACTTACAATCATGGTTGAAGGTGAGGTGGAAGCAAGAAAACTTCATCACAGGGCGGCAGGAGAGTGAGTACAAGTAGGGGGCCTGTCAGATGCTTATAAAACCATCAGATCTTATGAGACTCACTCATTATCTCGAGAACAGCATGGGGAAACCACCCCCATCCGATTATCTCCGCCTGGTCCTGCCTTGACACTTGGGGATTATGGGGATTACAATTCAAGATGAGATTTGGGTGGGAACACAGAACCAAACCATGTTGGTACTGGTACAAAAACAGAAACACAAATCAATGGAACAGCTTAGAGAACCCAGAAATAAAGCTGCATACCTACAATCACATGATCTTTGACAAAATTGACAAAAACAAGCAATAGAGAAAGGACTGTCAATTCAATAAATGGTGCTGGGATAACTGGGTAGCCATATGCAGAAGACTGAAACTGGACCCCTTATACCATAAACAAAAATCAACTCAAGATGCATTAAAGACTTAAATGTAAAACCTAGAACTATAAAAACCCTAGAAGAAAACCTAGGAAATACCATTCCAGACATAGGCCCTGGCAAATGTATCATCAGGAAGACTCCAAAAGCAATTGCAACAAAAACAGAAATGGACAAGTGGGACCTAATTCAAAAGCTTTTGCACAGCAAAAGAAACTACCAACAGATTAAATAGACAACCTACAGAATGGGAGAAAATATTTGTAAGTTATGCATCTGACAAGGGTCTTATATCCAGAATCTGTAAGGAACTTAAACAAATTAACAAGGAAAAAAAATTTTTTTAATGGGCAGAGGAGATGAACAGACACTTTTTTAAAGAAGATATACCTGTAGCCCACAAGCATATGACAGAAATGCTCAACATCACTAATCATTAAACAAATGCAAATCAAAACCGCAATGAAATACCATGTCACACCACTCAGAATGGCTATTAAAAAGTCAAAAAATAACAGAAGCTGGTGAGATTGCAGGGAAAATGGAACACTAATACACTGCTGGTGGGAATGTAAATTAGTTCAGCCACTGTGGAAAGCAGTTTGGAGATTTCTCAAAGAATTTAAAAACAGAACTACCATTCAACCCAGCAATCCCATTACTGGGTATATAACTAAAAGAATATAAACTGTTCAACCATAAAGACTCATGCATGCATGTGTTCATCACACCACTATTCACAACAGCAAAGACATGGAATCAACATTGATGCCCATCAACAGTGAAATGGATTAAAAAAAAAAAAAAGAGATAAATATACACCATGGAATACTACGCAGCCATAAGAAAGAACAAAATAATGTCTTTTGCAGCAGCACGGGTGTAGTAGCTGGAGACTATTATCCTAAGTAAACTAACGCAAGAACAGAAAACCAATTTCTCACTTATAAGCAGGAGCTAAACATTGCTACACATGTATACAAAGAAGGGAACAACTGATGCCAAGGCCCACTTGAGGATGCAGAGTGAGAGAAGGGTGAGGATTGAAAAACTACTTCTTAGGTACTATGCTCATTACCTGAGTGATGTTATAATCTGTACACCAAACTCCATGACACACAGTTTACCAATGTAACACACTTGCACATGTACCCCCAAACCTAAAACAAAAGTTGGAAAGAAAATACCAAAGCACACATTCACAAAAGAAAAAGAAGATACTAAAGATAACCTAACAGAAGTCTTCATAGATGGAAAGGCTCAAAGTTAAAAAAAAAATCTTAGTTATCCTTCATATAAACTATCCAATACAATTCCAATTAAAAAGTTTGAAGAGATAAGACTTTTAGTTTTTTTTTTAGTATTTCATAACCGATTTTAATAACACTGGAGGAAGATTAATGAAACTTGAAAATTAAAAGGGATACAGAATCCTAATGACACTTTGACTATCTTATAAAGAATCAGACATCAAGCACACAAAACTGCCACGTTTTAGATTCTTGGCTACTTGTATTTTGCTAGTTTTTCCTATGATTATTAACTATAAAACTCATAAATGAGCTTTTATTAGGAATCAAAGAAAGGGCTACGGAGGCTACCTCAACGTCCTTTGCCAGGTGTATGAGTTTTTTTTAAAAAAGGATAGAAGTTTAAAAATAGGAGTTTCTTGTTTGTTTTTTGTTTTTTTGTTTGTTTGTTTTTGATAATAGCAGCTATAAGGGCAAAGGAAAACAACTGAGTCTCAAGGGTTTGCCACAAAGAAGAAATGAGAATATGAGGAACCCACATGGGCCTGGAGAAGCTTGTGACATTTTCTCAAAGGCTGTTTATAGCCAATGCCATCACAATACAAATAATTTTAAAAGAGTGAAGAAAAACAAAGGTAAGTAAGCTAGTTTGACTGATTGCAGAAATTACTCTCTATGTTATGATCAAGTTCTAAATTTGTTTCTGAATTTTCTAGCTGCTAGAAAAAACAAAAAGGAAAATATGACAAATGTTACAGTGTTTAAAAGTGGAAATAAGGCAACATGTTAAGTTCACATGAAATCCCTAAGTAAAATGTATAAGAAATAGCTCTCAGTCCAGGTTCTTACAGGCAAGGAACAGGTGCCATCTCCAGCTGAGTTAAGCAAAAAAGTAATTCACTAAACAGATATTGCAATAGCTCACAAAATCAACTAGGAGGAACAGAAGTATAGGCTCAAGGCTAAGACACTAGGAAAGACACACTGAAGCATGTTTTAGAATTGACCTGGAGATAAAACAGCTTCCTCCAGTGCCACAGATACTACCATTCCCACCTGCAAAGCTGGTGTCCCCTGAAACTCTTGTTTCCTGTAGCTCATGAGCCAGATCCCATCTGGTAGCTTTCAGTTCGAGAGTCTTAAGTCACACACCTATGTGTTACCTGCAAAAGAGGAGGGAAAGATAAGTATTGAGTATTTTTAGTCCTATAATGGATCATCCACCCCTGTCATCCAAATCACATATTTGCAATATTAGAAATTCCCCAAACATAAAAAGTAGTTATACTGGTAGGCAATGAAAACAACATAACAAATGTTGTGACAATAACCATACATCATCCACTTTCAAGTTTGCTGTATAACCAATCCTTAGAGAGACTTAAGTTTGCAAATTGTTACTTGTACTCTTATGAGCTTTCTGACTCAACTATTCTCAATCCAATAATGTAGTTATAATTCTACCTTTATTTACTGTTTTCATTCAGGGTTTTTAATACATCCGTATATGTAACTTTCTTGGATCAATTTAACTTGGTCAAGGTTGTTCTGGGATCTACCAGAATAGAACTCAGAATGCCTGGAGGTGTGGATAGAATAGAAAATCCTTTTTATTACCTTTAAGGGCCGTTAAGAAAAACTGAATTCACCAGATACAAGAGCAAATGATTAGGGTAAGAACATACATATCAACACATTATGCTTGTTTACTTTAAAATGAAACTATCTTCTATATAAATAAAAACTGAAATTCCCACCAAAATGTAAATAATTTAAAAGGTAAATTGTAAACATTATAAAAATGCATTGTGGAAATTATTAATTCAACTAAATGTACAACTATCTGAAAATGAGGCTGTGTTGTCTTCTCCTTAAGTATAATGATCACAAATGAGGAAGGAGGATTGGAGGATTTCCTGCTTCTTTCTGTAGCACTGAATAGGGCCTGCTTTGTTAGATGACTTCAATTGCAGGATATTTCAGAAGGTGGATACCTGGACTATACTATGTTTAGAGTCCAGCTGCCAGTGAGTCTGGGGGAGGCATGCTTAGGCTTGCTGCAAAATGATGATCCTTGGCTTTTGTGAACAAGTTATCCTGAAATATATAACACAAGATAAAAAAAAGATCTTCAAGTCCAACTCGGAAACGTCTTTTACTGATAATATGTGGAATTAGAAGAAAATGCTTCTGGATAGAGGAGATGGAAAATATTGAACAGTCATTGGGAGAAGAAAGTCCTTTTCAGCTTCTCACATTGGTGCCACCTGTCCCAGAGACACTGTGAGCTACCACCCGGTAATACTAAAACCGCTTCTCTGCTGGTCTTGTTCTGTTGAACACAGGCACTGTATGAGTCACTTCCTGAAAATATTGAAGAGAGTCATTGGGAGAAGAGTTTTTTTCAGCTTCTCACATTGCTGCTCCTGTTCCAGAGACACTCTGAGCTACCTGCTATAATGAAATGGGGAAAGTTCCCTTGCCTCCCTGGGTGTGTGATGAGGGCGTGGCTCACTTCTTCAGTGCCCTGCTGCTCAAACCTCTAGGGGAGCATACAGATGGGCAGTTTGTGGAGCTCCGACCCCACGGCAGTGTCTAAGGGTGAATATTTACAGCTCCTGAAGCCCCAGTGGGCATGTGTTACAGGGTGCTCTTTTGGTTTAGCCATCTGTAGGCAGCTTATGTTAGCTCAATTAGACCCCCTTCCTTATCACAAGGACAGAGAGGTTTCTGTATCCCAGGTTCTTGTCTTGATGTACTGGAAGAATCACACGTGGACTTGGAGAAATAGTGCAAGGTTTTATTAAGTAAAAGTAACTCTCAGCAGATGGGAGAGCCAGAAGGGAGATGGTTTTCCCCTGGAGTCAGGCCACTCTGTGGCCTGGGCGTCCAGGGCTCTCCTCAAACTGAACGGCCAAATTCCGCATTGTTCTGCTGGTGGGCGGCCTTCCGGTGTGCCCGTGCCTGCCCTTCTCCACATCAAGCCGCCTGTGTGTCCGCCTGCTAGGGTGTGTGTGTGTGTGTAGTAGGCACAGGATGGGGGTGTGGTGCGGCAAGCCAGGGTGATCTCGGGAAATGCAACGTTTGGGCAGGAAAACAAACATGCCTGTCCTCACCCAGCCCAAGGGGGTGGAGCCCTAGTCAGGGACTACACCCTCCTCTACCCAGCACTTCCCTTCCCTGCTTCCGTATCATTTAAAGGGACCAGGCTTTTCCCTTCTCAGCACCCTCGTATCAATAACATCATCAAAACCACTTCTCTGTTGGTCTTGCTCTGTTGAACCCATACACTGTGTAAGTCACTTTCTACCACCAATGCAGACAGGCCTCAGTAATAGAACAGCATGAACAAATTATCATGACTCACTAAAAAGAAAAATATATCAGCTAGTATGAGACAGAAAACAGGGCAAAAAGAGATTTATCTGATTCATGAGATTGTTTTAGTCATTGTTGTTGCTGATTAGTAAGGTTTTTTTTAACACCAGATTTTTCAGCAAGTAATTGTCTCAATCTACTTAGAACATCATTAAGGTCAACATAATTTGTTCAGGGATTATAATTTTATGGTGGAAAATGTCCAAAATTGCTTATAGCTATTATCATTAAGTTTTTACCTACTCATTATTCCTTAGGGAATATGAAATGGAAGAAGTGTTCTCTTACCCTTCTTGCAGGGCATGTGGCAGGGGGATGGCTCACCACTGCTCAGACCCCTAGGGGGACAGGCAGGCCACGGAGAGCGTTTTTTGGCCTCTAACTCCATGGCAGTGTCCAGAGTTGAGTGTTTACAGCTCCTAACGCCCCAGTGGGCATGGGTTACAGTGTGCTCTTTCAGTTTTGCCATCTGCAGGCAGCTTGTGTTAATCAGTTTAATTAGACTCTCCACCTTTTGCAAGGACAGGGGCTTTTCTGTATCTCGGGTTCTTGCCCTAGTGTATTAGAAAAAGCAGATCACACGTGGGCTTGGAGAATGAGTGCATAAGTGCAAGGTTTTATTGAGTGGTGGAAGTAGCTCTCAGCAGATGGATTGTGAGCCAGAAGGAGAATGGAGTGGGAAGGTGGTCTTGCCCTGGAGTTGGGCCACTCTGCAGCCAGACTCTCCTCTAACCAGCTCCAAGCAAATTCTGCATCTCTTGCCATAGATGGCCTACTGGTATCCGTTTGTGTGCTCTAAACTCCTCTGCTCCTCTGAGCATCCAGTTGCCTATGTGTTTGCCTGCTAGGGTTTCAGGGTTTTTATAGGCACAAGATGGGGGGCGGGGGTGGTGCATGGTAGGCTGGAGGGGTCTTGGACAATGCAGCAGTTGGGCGTGAAAACAGGAGTACCTGTCTTAAGTTTGTGGGCACAAGCCCAAGGGTGGAGCCCTCGCCGGGGACCCCACCTTTCTCTACCCAGCATTTCCCTGCCCCCTTTGTGTATCAAATAGACTACATTTTAAACATAAGGCAATAAATTAAAAGCAGAGTACATTGAAAATAAGTTTAAGTTAGTTATGTTTCTCTCCGCCAACTTTAAAAAACACACAAACACACATAATATCACTGCCTTTTCCAGGAATATGGAAGACTAGAAAATAGAAACATTTTTTACTACAAGAGGTTAGAAATGCTGAACAAAAAATGTCACAAACATTCTGTTAAGTGCATAGGTAAGAGTTCAGTAAAGTGAAATAATTCGCAAGTGACCCAAAACAAGTGGAAAACAGCACTAAGAGAGTAAGAAGGAGAAGCTTCTGATATGAGGAATCAAGATTTGGGTTATACCAGCTGCTCCCTGATGGAGACAAGACTTTTCGAGACTAAGAAAACAAGGACTCAGAATTGAAACCCCCACACAGAATCAGATCATTTGAAGAGCTATACACTGATGGCTAGGAGGTCCTAGAAGATATTGCAAAGGGAGATGGCAACACTTACGTTACCACAGTCGCTTTGGGTGGGGAGAAATATTTTGTATAAAAGTCTGCTTTCTAATATGTTTGGTATTTATTTTAGTTACATGGTATGAGTACCTTCAAGCTAAGAAAGTAAATGAATAACTGGTTACAAATTGGTAGTATTTCTGTGAAGCCAGAAACAAACAGAAGCAAAATGTTCTGAAAGAATTCACCTGAAACCCAGACTACACAAGATTTCTGTAGGGAAAGCACTACTTAAAATGAACTCGTCTTCCAAAATACAAAACAAAAGGGAACAATCTTTGATGCACAAATGTTAGCAGAAGAAGAGATAGAATTATCAGCTCAAATTTCCAAATAAGGATAAGATGTCAAAGCAGGAAATGAAAACAAGATAAAAAGAAGAGCCAGGTGTGTGGTTCATGCCTATAATCCCAGCACTTTGTGGGGCTGAGGCGAGTGGATTGCCAGAGGTCAGGAGTTCAAGACCAGGCTGGCCAACATGGTGAAACCCTGTCTCTACTAAAAATACAAAAAAATTAGCCAGGCATGGTGGTGCATGCCTGTAACCCCAACTGCTTGGGAGGCTGAAGCAGGAGAATTGCTTAAACCTGGGAGGCGGAGGTTGCAGTGAACAGAGATCACACCACTGCACTCCAGTGTGGACATCAGAGCGAGATGCCATCTCAAAAAAAAAAGAAAAAAGAAGAAAATATATATGTGTTTTTAAAATATACTTAAAAAAAAAGTAGAATTGTAGAACTGAAAAAATCTAATTAAAAATAAAAATCATTGAAAGGGTTAAACATCAAGTTGAACACAAATGAAGAGAGAATTCGTTAACTGGAAAATGGATTTGAAGAAATTACCAAGAATGCAGGAGAGGAGCAAGGAGGAGAGCAGAGAGGAAAGAGATGATGCAAGAAGACTGATGGACTGACATAAAATCTATTAAGAGTGCTAAACAGAAAGAACAGAGAAAATGGAGCATTGATGGGTAATATTTGAAGGAAAGTAAGTAAATGAAAATCTTTACCAAAGTATAGAAACACTTAAATACTTAGATTCAGAAAAGAAAATAAGTTCCAAATTGGAGGAATCAAATTAATTTAGCTTAAATTAAAAGCAACTAAAGATAAAAGGATAAAGATTATCTATAAAATAACATTCATTAGTATAATAGCAATTATTTATGTCAGTAGCAGTAATACAGATATAAATTAATGGAAAGAATTGCTAGAATATAGAGCCAATCATGCCCTTTGATTTTAAAATTAAACACTTTTTGTGAATAAAAAAGATTGAATCATCTCCTGTCAAAGAATCCCTGGCCGTAATTCAGTTAATTTATTGAAAAGCAGAAGAGCCTGGAAACTGAAATCAGAACCCAGTAATTTAAACTAATGTTATATCATAGTTATTTTCCACCAGCTGAGGGTGTGTGATTGTATGAAGGAACGTGGTGGGTTTAGATGGGTGATTAGGTATGTTTATTGAAGAAATAGCATATGATGACTAAGCACAGTGCCAGATGTCAAAGTCAATTCATTTAGTGTTTGGATATTTAGACAATGGAAACCCAATGGTAGTCAGTAGTGTTTAACTTACATTAGGTTCTAATGCATTAATCTGTAAAGGCTGTCACATAATGTTCTTTGTTCTTAAATAGTTTGTATATAAGGCTAGGCGCAATGGCTCATGCCTGTAATCCCAGGACTTTGGGAGGCCGAGGCGGGAAGATTACTTGAGCTCAGGAGTTCAAGACCAGCCTGGCCAACATGGCAAAAGCCCATCTCTACAAAAACATACAAAAATTAGCTGGGCATGATGGCAGGCGTCTGTGCTCCCAGCTACTCGTGAGGCTGAAGTGGGAGGATGGTTTGAGCCTGGGAGGCTAAGGTTGCAGTGAGCTGAGATAGCACCACTGCACTGCAGCCTGGGTGGCAGAGCCAGAGCCTATTAAAAAAAATTTTTTTTGTATGTAATAAACCAGAGCTAGAAATGTGTTTCACATACTTTGCTTAGATTTCAGGGTTATCCTTTCTCATAAATAATACTTTTATGGGTTTTTTGTTTGTTTGTTTGTTTGTTTACTATCAAAGTAATTCTTGATGGTCATACAAAATTTGAAAGATATATATAAGTCACAAGAAAAGTTTTTAAATTTCCTTTAATCTTACCACCCAGAGAAAATACTAATCAGCCTTTTAGGACATTTTAAGTTGATTTTAACTTTTTTTTAATTCAACTTTTTATTTCAAGTTAATTACAATTTACATGCAAATCTAAGAAATAATAGACTGACCTTGGGTACACTTTACCTAGTTTCTCCCAGTGATAATGTCTTTAGTACATTTAATATAGAAAAACTATAGTACATTCTATGGTAGGCTGTCATAGAAAAAAAAAAAAAAAAAGAAAAGCTATAGTACAATATCCCATTCAGGATATTAACATTGATATAGTCAAGATACAGAACGTTTCATTCATCACAAGGATATCTGAAGTTGTTCTTTGATAGCCACACTCACTTTTCTTCTGCCCCCACTCCTTCCTTAATCCTGGTAACCACGGATTTGTTCTCCATTTCTGTACTTTCATCATTTCAGTAATGTTATATAAAATGGAAGCATATAGTATATAACATTTTGGGATTGACTTTTTTGCTCAGCATAACTCTATGGAGATTCACCTAGATTGTTGCCTGTGTCAATACTTTTATTCCTTTCTATTGTTAAATAATATTGTATGGTATGGATATACCTCAGTTTGTGTAACCACCATTCACTTATTGGAGGACATTTATTTCCAGTTGTTGATTATTGTAAGTAAAGTTACTATAAATAATCACGTACAGGTTTTTTGTGTGTCATGTCTTAATTCCTATGAGATAAATGCCCAGAAGTGAAATTGCTGGGTCATATGGTAGTTGCATGTTTAGTTTTTTTAACAAGCTCCAACTTCGTATCATTACATTTGAAGTAAGTTTGTTATATAGTAGGTCATGTTTTTAAATCCACTCTGACAATCTCTGTCTTTGAATTCGTGTAGTTAGAATAATATTATGACTTAACCCTGACATTTTTGTTGTTGTTTTCCTCGATTTGTTTTCTCTAGTTGTTGTTTCTGTTTTCCTTTTTTTGCTTCCCTATGGGTTACTTGAATATTTTAAAACTCTATTTTAATTTAGGTACAGTGTTTTTGAGCATATCTCTTTGTATAGCTTTTTTTAGTGATATTAAATTATACTTGATATTATATGTACATAATTGATCACAGTCTATTGTGTCATTATTTTGAATGAAATATAGAAATCTCATCTCTTTATATTCTTTTACCCTTCCCCATTTATAATATAATTATTATAACTATTTCTTGCACATATATTTAGAACCACATCAATGAGTATTATAACTTTTGCCTAATCTGGTAAACATAACATACAAAACTTGAAAAGGAAAACTAATTATATTTATGCATATTTTTGCTTACTATTTTCTTTCTTCCTTCTTGCTGTTTTAAGACTCCTTTTTTGTATCATTTCCTTTCTGTTTAGAAAAATTCCTTTAGCCTAAAAGGAGTAGGTCTCCTAGTGACGGATCTTCTGAGTTTCCTTTAAATGAGAATGTCTAATTTTCCCTTCACTTCTGAAGTATGTTTTTAGGATTCTTGGCTGACAATTCTTTTCTTTTAGCACTTAAAAAATATTGTGCCATTTCCTTCCTGCCATGATTTTTTAAATATATATCTCTAGCTGTATTTTTTTAACTCCTCAGTTTATTTTGAAATATTCATATGATTTTGACATTATCTCAAAATACACAGAAATTACTTATATCTGCCTATACACTTATTAAATGCTGATGAAGAATACTTAACAATCAATATTTAAGCATGCCAAATAATAAATCTTTCCCCAACTTTTTAAATTATTTTTTAAAATAAGCCAATTTATACTGGACATTTGGGTTACATGTGCATATAAAAACAGTCATATTCCTCAACTGACCATGGATAGATTAGCATACAAGTGTTTTTCTTTCTAGATATAATTTTCAAAGGCAAAGTGGTTTAGATGGGAGCAAATGAGCTGACCCCCTGATGAAGTAAACTCGACAAAAATCAAGAAGTATTAAAGGTGCTCATGATTAATTCCATAAATCTTTCTGTCTTCCCTATCTTTTCAATATAAAAGTGTGCACTATGGGTGTGTTTAAATTAAAACACTTCTAATCTAGACTGTGAGCTCCTATGGAAGGGGCTACTGCCAATCCATAAAAGGCCCTGGGGAAGAGAGAGGTAGTGCAGGGGAGCAGAGGGCACCTGCTCTCCATCCAGCCATCCACACAAATCTACTGAAGAGGTACTCGATTATCTAAGTCTCAATGGGCTTAGATGTTGATCTAGGCCTTCAAGTGAAGTTTTCCTTCATTATGTTTTATGTTTTTTGTTCGACTATTTTTTGTAATTGGGGCAAAGTGAGATGTTCATCTAGCTTAAGAATGCTTAGGCCGGGCGCGGTGGCTCAAGCCTGTAATCCCAGCACTTTGGGAGGCCGAGGCGGGTGGATCACGAGGTCAAGAGATCGAGACCATCCTGGTCAACATGGTGAAACCCCGTCTCTACTAAAAATACAAAAAATTAGCTGGGCATGGTGGCGCATGCCTGTAATCCCAGCTACTCAGGAGGCTGAGGCAGGAGAATTGCCTGAACCCA